ACACACACACACACACACACACACACACACACACACACACCACCTGCCAAGCACTGAGATTAAAGGCATAAACCACCAGGTGAGAAAGGACTCCTATAAGAATAGGAATGTGTCTTTCAGTTTGGCAAAGTGGAATAGAGGTATGGTTACAACTTAGTTTTGGCCTCATAAGCACAAATTTGCTGAGTACTTTATTGCTATGGGGAAAATATGGGAAGAGGCAAATTACTAGTAGTACTGAAACACCAAACATTCAATTGTGTTTCCCCAGTTTCAGAGATTATTACAGAATTAGTTCTGTTATGGTTTGTAATATAAACTCCAAGTTAAATTAAAATTTAAATAGTCCTAGTTATCTCACAGGATGTTTTAGTCCTCAGATGTTAAAACCTACACCCAACTCTAATTTTTCTTTCATTAATGCCTTGTTGACATGTTTCAAACGCATAAAAAATGTACCATCCAAATATATTGTATGGAGAGAATAAACTTTTGTCACAACAAAAATAAAGTTTTTTTTCTTGTTTACGACAACTACATAGTCCTCGGTGTCATTAAATAAGGAACTATAGATCCTTCTCAGGAATTCTCCGCACGTACCTGCATTTGAGAGAACCTTCAATGCCAACGAGACAGGGCTCTAATAAAACGACATTGTTCGTGACTCCTGAAAGACAAAAGGGTTTTGAATAGGAAAACCGCCCACCAGATTCATCCTGGTCATAAAAGTCAACAAAACGCGTGGGGCTCATCCAAAAGCGCAAGCTTAGCTCACGCGAGGTCGGTCCAAAGTTTGATTCCCAGCTCCGGAAAACAAAACCACGCCTCCCTCACCCAGCTCGTTTACGATCCCACAGGTCGGGATTACCCTTTCTCAGACGCCAACCCTCGCCTCACTCACTGGAGAAGGCCACGGTCCCGAGGGACCTCGACAGGTCCCAGGCGAGATGCACGGTGTCGGCGAGCACCGCGTGGCAATGCGCGCAGTGGAACACGGCGCACCTCTCCGGTTCCAGCCACGCAGGCAGCCGCAGGTCGACCGGTGACGTCTCCACCTCAGTCTCCGGAGGACCTAGAGGGGAAGACCCTGACACCACCTGAGTGTCCCACTCCATGGAGGTAGCAGCAGAAGGCGTGTCACAAGAGTCACTGCAGCACGGCGACTCGGGGGACGGGAGGAGGCGCCGCGAGCGAGCCATCATTCTGAAGCCGGCGCCTCTTTTTGTACGCTCGCGCCAGGTTCCACCGAAACGAAGTTTCCTGCATCCTCGTTGGACAACATGCCCGTAAGGCACGCCCACAAGCCGTCGAGCGCCGCGTATTCATTGGTTAGGCTTGCGCTATTGCGCGCTTCAGCAGCTCTATTGGCCAGCATCGGAAAACCCCACCCCCGAGGCGTTCAACCAATGGACGTGCAGCAGCCTCCATTTAAAATGAATATAAAAGTCGGCTTGTCAACGCCTTGGGTGGCGCCAGTTTTGAACGCTGCTGTTTGAGTCGCCTGGTTGTTTTTCTGGGTGTCGCCGGGATTGTAGAACGCGATGACCGTCCCCTCTGCAGAGGAGTTGGACTCTTTCAAGTACAGCGACCTGCAAAATTTAGCCAAACGGCTGGGCCTCCGGGCTAACCTGAGGGTACGGTGCTGGCTGGTGGTGCGGGCAGTTGGGTCGGCGGGGTAGAAGAGACCAGGGGTGTGGGGGTCACGGGGCGAAGGGACAGAGAGGGAACCCCCGGGGGACTCTGGTTTTGGGTGAGTAGGTTCGGCTCACGTTGGCTGGAATCTGTTAAACGAAAGAGAAGATATATCTGTTATTTTATTTGGAGGCAGGAACTCATAAAGGCCTCTTACTAGAAACTCTAATGATAGTTTCCTGCTGCCAGAAGGAAACACAGACCCATAAGACATAATCAATGTAATGTCTAATGCCTGTTATTAGAAAAAGTTGAATTGGCTCCTGGAAATTTCCCAAATTACTACTTTTAAGTAAACTGTGATAGTAGTACCTACAATCTTCTTGGGCCTTTATTTGGATGCCAAGCCATGGGGATATAGTATGATCGCTATAGTGATGGTGTTCTTTTTCAAAACCGGTTAGGACTTTTGCAAGGTGTTCAGAGAAAACGTCATTCATTGTGAGACTGGGGCTTGCTATGTTGGAGTTGAGATTTCCCACATGTGTACCCCGTAGATTTGTACAGCAAGCTGATATTTACACTAAATGTCTATTCAGTCATCACAAATATTTTTAAGTGATATAAACAGAATAATGAGACCATAGATGCTCCTCGAATCTGTCTGAATGGCAATGAAGAGTACTTGGAAATGTTTCTGAGTTACACAACTTTAATGAGTAAAGCTTAGGCCCTCAGGTATTTGCTATCTTGTGGATTTTTTGTTTGCTTTTCTTTTTTTCCCCAAGAGATTATTTTTTTATTAGTTCAAATTGGAAACAAGGCTGCTTCACATATCAATCCCCTCTCCCCTTCCCCCATTCCCCCAGCCCCCCACCTCACCCCCCCCTGCTCCCCAGGGAGGGTAAGGCCCTCCATGGGGGTTCCCCAAAGTCTGTCATATCATCCTGGGCAGGGCCTAGGCCCTCCCCCATGTGTCCAGGCTGAGAGAGCATTCCTCCATGTGGGATGGGCTCCCAAAGTCCCTTCTTACTGATTCACTACTAGGGGCCCCATAGAGTGCCAAGGCCTCCTCATTGACATCCATGTTCAGGGTTATGGATCAGTCCCGTGCTGGCCTCCTAGACACCAGTCTGGGGTCCATGTGCTTCCATCAGCCACTGAATGAGGGCTCTAGGATGGCATATAAGGCAGTCATCCATCTCATTATAGGGGAAGGACATTTAGGATAA